GTGTGTGTGTGTGTGTGTGTGTGTGTGTGTGTGTGTGTGTGTGTGTGAGAGAGAGAGAGAGAGAGAGAGAGAGAGAGAGAGAAAGAGAGCGGACACTGAGGGGCTCTGACAGTAAAAGAGAGAAATACCGTGCCTGGAAAACAAGTGCAATGGGGAGTGACACTGAAAGCAAACTCTTGGAGCAGTGGAACACGCTGATGCAGGAGCTTTTGATCATGTCCTGTGGTAACAAAATACCTTTGACTAGCCCAGATACACAGATGCAGATTCCACGGGAGGGAAACCAAAGTTTCACGGGATGAAATTTACTCTTACTACAAGTGATACAACAATACTCTGTCTTCTATCTTATTTCATTAAAAAAAAATAATAGAAGACGAACGCAAGTAAGCTGGGCCTTGATCTGTTAAACTGATTTACCACCAACTGAAGGGTTACAGCTCGCAAATATTGACCATTGTCCTGGAGGGCACCTGACCTATTTGGGGCTGCCCACGCCTTCCTGCACTTGGAGGATTTCTAGCATTGTGATCCCACATCTCCAGAAGAGATGTCAGAGCTGGCTGCCCAGCTTCCTTATAAGCGGGTCCTGGTCCTTTCGTCGCACCCACGCCAGACAGCATCAGGAGCGGGTGACAGCGGAGGTAAGTGTGCAGAGCTCTCCCCTCCCTTTGGCCCAGGCCAGCAGGGACACTAGTGGGAGGTGGCACTCCTCACACTGATGAAGGTGGCACGGGCGACTGTGGCAGAGGCAGTTCCATTTAGAGTTCTCTGTACACGTGATGGTGGGACAGACTGTAGCCAAGGCTCACTCATTAGACCAGGCCTGGGTGATGTGCCGCCAGCTCCCAGAAGCTTAGCCTGGGGCCTGGTTTCCTAGCCCTCCTAGGATTCCTCCAGCCAGTTAGTCCATCACAGCTTCTGTTGCTTATGACCAGGAATCCTCTCTGCAGCAAACGTTACATTGTAAATTTTATTCTGGGACTCATTCTAAAGGGCCCATCTCTTCTTAAAAAGACCACACTGAGGGCTTCCCTGGTGGCGCAGGGGTTGAAAGTCCGCCTGCCGATGCAGGGGACACGGGTTCGTGCCCCGGTCCGGGAAGATCCCACATGCTGCGGAGTGGCTGGGCCCGTGAGCCATGGCTGCTGAGCCTGCGCGTCCAGAGCCTGTGCTCCGCAACGGGAGAGGCCACAACAGTGAGAGGCCCGCGTAACGCAAAAAAAAAAAAAAAAAAAAGACCACACTGAAACATTCTAACTGCCTTCTCTGGATGAATCAAATTCATTTTAGTAATATCAGTTACAAGTACCTCCACCCTCCAAATCGATTCAGTTTCTGAGTTTAAATGAGGAGAGATCAGAAGATGAGTTAAGTTTGAGGGACTCTACTTTATCCAAAATAATATGGTGTCTGAGTTTTGGATGGCAAGTTGAGAGAGCTCAGATAAGTGAGGGATTTGTCTGAAAGTTTATCTGTGTCTGTTCGATTTCTGAGTTCTGACAGCAAAGGCTCAGATAGCACGGGACACCTGTATTCTTTTTAATCAGCTGTTTTCTCAAAAAAGGCACAGCAAAGCATAGAAACCAGAATCCCCTCCCAGGTAACATAACCTGGTTAAATTTCTTCACAAGTTATTGGAAAACTGATGGCTATATTTGTCTTCTTTTAAGTAATTTTAATAGCTTGACTTGTCACCAGGAATGACTTGTCTTATGGTAGCAGTTTGGTTTGCAAGCATTATTTCATCCGAACTATTTTTTTTTACATCTTTATTGGAGTATAATTGCTTTACAATGGTGTGTTAGTTTCTGCTGTATAACAAAGTGAATCCCCTATATGTATACATATATCCCCATATCTCCTCCCTCTTGCACCTCCCTCCCACCCTCCCTATCCCACCCCTCTAGGTGGTCACAAAGCACTGAGCTGATCTCCCTGTGCTATGTGGCTGCTTCCCACTAGCTATCTATTTTACATTTGGTAGCGTATATGTGTCCATGCCACTCTCTCTTCGTCCCAGCTTACCCTTCCCCCTCCCCGTGTCCTCAAGTCCATTCTCTACATCTGCGTCTTTATTCCCGTCCTGCCCCTAGGTTCTTCAGAACCTTTTTTTTTTTTTAAGATTCCACATATATGTGTTAGCATACGGTATTTGTTTTTCTCTTTCTGACTTACTTCACTCTGTATGACCATCCAAACTATTGAATTAACCCCTCAGACATAACATGGGACCCCAGCTTTCTCTATGACTTCTTCTTACAAGGTGAAACTCTGAAATGTTATGATTATTTGGTTTGCAACAGAATTCCATGCCCAATCGGTACTTGGCAGTGGGGTGGTGAGAGGACCACCATCATTCCCATTTTATAGATAAAGACACTGGGGCATAAGGAACTCACCCAGGGCCACACGGCTCACAGGACTCCAGGTCTGAGAGCCCGTGTGCACTTTCCCATCAACTGTCAGAACGGGGCCAGCTTGGGAGGGGGAGGAGGGAGGGGAGGAGTTGACGGGCTGAGCCAGGACTGTCTCTGGGCCAGGAGAGGGGCAAGAGAGAGGCAAGCTAGTGAGTGGTGTTTAGCGCTGCCCCGATGTGGACTTGATAAGCAAGGTGAGGGAGAAGGCAGGGAACTGATACGCGTTCCCGCGCAACACAATCCACCAGTAGAAAGGCCTCCAAAGTCTTCGTCGGCCTTTGATTACTTTAAGAGCAGCCTTTGGAAAACAGAACTTGTCCCTTTCTTTTCTTTTTTTTGCGGTACGCGGGCCTCTCACTGCTGCGGCCTCTCCCGTTGTGGACGCGCAGGCTCAGCGGCCACGGCTCACGGGCCCAGCCGCTCCGCGGCATAGCGGGATCTTCCCGGACCAGGGCACGAACCCGTGTCCCCTGCATAGGCAGGCGGACTCTCAACCACTGCGCCACCAGGGAAGCCCTCGGCCCTTTCTTATATCTAACCCTAAGCAGTGTGCTCCAGAGTAAATAAGAGGATAGAGTGGTTCGGGAATTTGGGGTTTATGGGGCCTTAAGCTCTCCTTAACCTAATGGGTAACTACTTCAGCCCAAGGTATTCCTCTCTGTCCGGCTGTGATTCCAGAGACAGACACACGTTCCAGGGCCTGGAAAGAGCATTTTCATCTTACTGCACTGCAGGTTGGTTTTTTAAAGGCTCATCTTGACTTGCTGCTACTGAATTGTTTCCTCTCTTCTCTAATATCCCATTTATACATCATCAGTGTTTACTTCATAAATGTTTCGCATAAAATACAATTTAAAAAAAAGTCCTTTCTGCCTTGCATTTGATCTGAGGAAGGCTTCAGAAATCTGATGCGGTGGGTTTCAGGACAGACAGCAGAGCACCAAGGAGCTCTGTCCTGAACCAGGGAGAACAGATCACTGAGAACAGATCACTGGGCCCTTTTGCCTACAAAAGGCAAGATAAGGCCCTGGAATGTTAGGTGACCTTTCAGTTGCTACCTTTAAAACCCAATCCAGGCCTTACTTCAGTCATCCAATCTGTCCTCTTCTTTCTGAGAAGAAATTCTGAATGCCTTCATGTAGTATTTCCAGAAGTACATGCCTGTAGCTTTACTCACAAAGAGTAGCCTCTTCACCATCAAAGACAATAATATTGCTGAAAATACTATCTTGCTTTTTCAAATGTCAAGGATGAGGCTGGCGTTTTCCTGTATGAGAAGCCTTGATACTTATGCTCACCAGGTCGCCCACACTTGATTACTCTGGTCAAGTCACCCTGAAAGCCTCCTACAGCATCCACCTGCCCAGGTGAGTATAGCCTTCCCGGAACATTTACCTCATCCCAGTACCTTCCCACAGGTCTTATTCGCCAGCAAACTATTTTCTCGGTGGTCTTCCTCTGGCCAGTGTTATGGCCAGGACATCAGTAGGAGTGACCCATCTGACGGTGGGCTTCTTGGCTATACTTTATTTCTTATTTGGTAAAAGCTGCCTGGAAGAGTCTGGGTCTTCAGTTCAGTTATGCAGGAGGGATGGGGAAGGTGCCTCAGGGTGGTGATGGAGAAGCAAGTGCTGGTTTTATTTACAAAGGTGGTTTTCTTACAAGGCACATTGAAAAATTACATGTTTTACTTTCTCATCAGTCCCTATGTCTAGAATACATCATTTTCAATCAGATATTAAGAGCAAGTTTTATTTCAAAAGAAAATAGAAACCAAACGACTTTGCCTTGAGAAAGCAAGCATTTAAAACACTTCCTCTGAAGTCAAAACATAAGATCACAGCTTGACTAGCCAGCAACCTATTGTCATATCCACGAATAAGGAGTTCCAGGGATCAACCCTAGGGAGGCAGGATCCTTTTAACCAAAGTCAAAAGCTGCGTCTTCGCAGCTGCACGTCTGTGCCTTTGGGTCCTCTCAGTCTACCTCTTCTCTTTATTATCTCTTTTTCAGCTTTATGTGGTATAATTGACAAATGAAATCAGGAGATATTTGATTTGTATGATTTGAAAGTTTAAATTCCTCTAGGGAAAACCTAGAAAAGGTGAATAAAATTA